AAAGGATAAAGCAATAAAAGATGAATCATAAGACTAAAACCTGAGGCACTACAAAATTTGAAGGCTGAGTAGAGAAAGAGGAGAACAAAAAACTGAGAAGACACAGCCAATTAGGTAGCAGAAAAAACCACTCCAAAGCCAAGACTGCAGGGACATTCATAAAGATAAAGCCAGAGAACTATTCATACAGAGTCCAGAGTTCAGTGGGTTGAAGAGTGAATGGGGACAGAGCAAGTAGAAACAACCTGATATGACTTGGATGTTTGATTTCTCGAACCACATGTTGAAATATGAACCCTAGTGTAGGAGGTGGAAACTAGTGGGAGAAGCTTGGATCAAGGGGGCGGACACCTCATGAATGAATGACTTGGTTCCCTTCTCCTGGTAATGAGTGAGTTCTGGCTCTCTTAGTTTGTACTAGGGTTGGCTGTTTGAAAGAGCCTGTCACCTCCCTTCGCTTTCTTGCTTCTGCTCTTGCCATGTGACACGCCTGCTGGCTTTCACCTTCCACCATGATTATAAACCTCTTGAAGCCCCATTGGAAGCAGATACTAGTACTATGCTTCTTGTAGAGTTTGCAGCAAACCCCGAGCCAAATAAACCTTTTTCCTTAGAAATTACCCAGCCTCAGGCATTCCTTTATAGCAACACAAAACAGAATAATACACTGCCAATGCATATTGCTTATTTGAGAAACTGTTTTCTTCAAAAGGGTCTTAGAAGTGGGACAGTAGCAGGATGAGAATGTGAATTCCATGGTGTAGGGTGTAGGTATCCCACCTCATATGTTTCAGCAAATGAAATATAGTAACAGAAGCCACAGTTGAAGGATTATAGACAGAATCAGATCTGTAGACATATTTTTTAATATTCTACAGTGATTTAAAATAATTTGATTTTGATTTCCTTTAGACTTAGCACATTGTCTTTAAGTTGACTGCCTATTGACTAGGTTCACTTGGTTTATATGGAATAATGCCTGACTCTGTGCCCAGAGAATATGTGTATACACATGGAATTACTCTAGTAGAGGAGATACAGAGAAAAACAGGACAACTACATAAACATAGACCTTGAAAAGAGAAAGGGGAACAAGATCAGAGGCATCAGTTAGGAGCTGTACTTTGACTCCTTGCACTGCCACTGAAGAGTCATCAAATACGATGCTTATACATGCAGGTGGATTTGGTGGTGGAAAGTTAATTAAGTTCTGCTTTTCAGTGAAGATAAAAGGAATAAGATGTTTGAAGACAGAGGCTATGTTGTAAAATAGTCATCTTAGTGTTACGAAGAGAATCAATAATCAAACACATAGGATCTGCTGCCGAAGTTGAAGCTTATCTTCAAGAATGTAAAGTGAAACCAGTCATCTTGGTGTGTGATTTTCGCATCTTCCCAGATGAGTACAATGGAAGGAAAAAGAAGAAGGAGAGCAGAAAATGTTTGAAAGGGAGTAATTTTGATACCAATCCATGGAATCTAAGGGTAAGAAGGAAATAAAGTTAGGAGATTTAATAGAGAATGAGACAGTGGTCAATGGAATAAAGGTTTTATGAGGCAAAAAGACAAATGATCACAGTACTCCATAGTAGACTATGATATGTCTGGGGATAGGTAACAGGTGGGTTCCGTGGTGATGGTTGGTGTCTGGGTAGCAATGTGATAACTTCATTATACATGAGAAGATAAAGCAACCACCAGGCCACTCTGATAGATCATGCACCTGAAGGTTCATATCACAGAGAAGGATGACAGGGACATGTGTGGAGAGAAAGAGTGAACCAGGAACAAAAATCATCCTCAATAACAGGATTTGACAGGGAGTCCCGGCAGCTGATGACCCAGAAGAGATTGTTAGTAACTAAGCTACGTGCCATGAGTTTCAGAATGGATGATGTTTTTGTAAAGGGAAAGAGAAGAAATTATTTGGGAGAGAAAATGTAAAGTAAGAACAACCCATTCTTGAGTCATGTGAGTAAGGGGGAACAAACACCCAACCACCACTAAAAAGGATTGCAGAGAAAAACCTTTGTCGGTAGACAGCCAGGTTCTTTTAAGGTAAAGGAAGTAAAGGAACATTTTCCAAAAGAAACTGAGAACAAAAGTGAGTTTATAGACTGCAGCACAGGCTTGAAAGATTCTGGGAGACCAGATAGGATTAAAGGATACAGGATATTAAAGGATATATACTATATGGGTTTATGGTGACACAGAAGGCTTGGAGCTTTGAACTTTTCTTGCTGAGTGGAAGGGCTCTGAGGCAACATGAGACTTATCCTTATAGTACTTTATGGGAAGCTGGCTAATCATTGCAGGTGATGGTCTTATTCTGTATAATCATGAGGTGGGATATCTATACCCTCCTGCAGCTCTTAACAATGTTAACCTTTGGGATCAGGAGCCTTCTGCAGCTCTTAACATTATCACCTTCGGGAATGAGGAGTCAGGGGCCAGGGCAGGTGGCAGTGAGCTGTTCTTGATGTGCTGGCTGCTCTGGGGTCATCCTTGTCTCAGAACAGAGAGAAAACAATCATTAGAAGACTGTACTTTGTTGGAAATTACTTCTGTCTAAGCAAGCAGAATTGTTTAATTTTGTAAAAAGTCATAGCCAAAAGTTTTGTAAAGTGTTTTGAGGTAAAGCTATAAAACCTCAGTTACCAGATAATGCAAGGAGTCATAATAACTGATCTCTGAGGGCTTCTAATAACCAAGCTTCAGCACTGTTAATAAAATTATCATGAGACTAGAAGATATTTACCAAGGATAAGAGAGGCCTGAGCTGCTAATGTATCCTTCCTCACTGCTTACTGGAGATTAGGCCCTCCTGAGATTGGAGCACTCACAGTTCAAAATAGGTTTTGAAATATTGGAAAGGGTCCAAACAAGCCAAGAGATTGGAAAGAGTCCAAGCAAGCCAAGAGAAATGATATAAGAAATTGTCAGTTTCTACAAGGAAAGGTGAAAGTCTTACTTCCCTGCATAAGAAAAGTTTTGTGAATGCTAATTTCAGCTTTCAATACTATCCTATGACAGGTAGTTTGGCTTTTGAGCTGTCAAGAAAATTAGACTTCAACTGCTTTAATAGATAGTGTTCTGAATCCTAAGATAAATATTATTTCAACACTAACATTTCAACAAAGGATAGTGTGAAAATATTATTTCTGGAAATAGTCTTATATGTTTAGCCAGAGCCCTCCAGAAAGCAAGAGGCTAGGTAGATACCCTGTCTCTCACCTGACAACGTGCACAGGGTACTAGGTTACTTTTTTTTCTTTTTCAGTATCTCTCTCTGTCACTCAGGCTGGAGTACAGTAGCACGATTAAAGGTCGCTGCAGTCTCAAACTTTTGGGCTTAAGAGTTCCTCCTGCCTAAGCTTTCCAGTGAGCTGGGATTACAAGTGTAAACCACTGTGTCTTGCCCAGAGTAGTCAATTAAATAATGAGGGAAGGGGGAGAAAGGTTAGGAATTTCCATAGATATTTTATTCATCTATTTTTCTTCAAAAGCGTCTGACAGAGTCTAAAACTAGTGACAGATAGTCTGTAAATTAAAATCTAAGGAACTGAGAGCTACCATTGCCTTTTTTATGTTCACTCATATCCTTCAGCTGTTTACCCATATCCCTCAGTTTTCCAACAAATTCTGGAAAATTGAACCAGAGAAAATCCAATGTGATTTTTCTCCTTCTTTGTGTCACATGTGATGTTGTTTTATTTAAAGTCTAAGTCTCAGCCAGGCTCGGTGGCTCAGCCTGTAATCCCGCGCCTTTGGGAGGCTGAGGTGAGTGGATTGCCTGAGCCCGCCGTTTCGAGACCCGCCTGGGCAGCGAGACCTCATCTCTACAATAAATCAAAAAATCAGTCGGGCATGGTAGTGCATGCCTGTAATTCCAGCTACTTGGAAGGCTGAGGCGGAAGGATCGCCGTAGTCCAGTAGGCGAGGCTGCGGTGGCCGGGAGCGGCCACTGCACTCCAGTCTGGGAGACCGAGTGAGACTCCAACTAAAAAAAAAAAAAAAAAAAAAACTCTAAGTCTCAGTTTTTCCATCTGTAATTAGTGTGATCACTTTAGATGTGATTAGAAGAAAAATGTGTTGAGAACATTAACAACAATATATGAAACTCCCTAACACTCAGTGTGGATACTCTGCTAAACAGAGTTGGCCTAGGGACTCAGTTCCAGACCTGTTTCCAGCACTGCTTCTTGCAAGCGGTCTCTATATGATGGGGAAGAAGTCCCTACCTCTAAGTTGTCCTCTACCTTTTGAGAGATCTTAGTAGACTTCATATTCTACCCTTTGTCGCTGCTTCCATTCCAAACAAAAATTGGTCCTGAGAAAAATAATTCACACTAAGAGCAAATCATTTAGAAGCAGGTTTGGATGGTGGGGTCAACAAATGGCAATCACCCGAACGACTAGAATAGATGTTTTGAGGGGAAGGAAGTTGGGAGTGGAGGCAGGAAGGCAAGTGAGAGATTCCTTCCATCACTTTTCCCAGGACCAGACCTGCTTTCAAAATTTGATATAGTTATTTACTTCTGGTCATGGGGGGAAGATTACAGATCACAGGTGACAGCTAGACTCTTAGATTTACGTAAAGCATACCAGAATACAAGACACAAGTTTCATCTTTCTCTGTAACTTTTAATATGTTAGTAAGCATGAGGAATGGAAATTTAAAACATATATATATTTTTCTCTTCATACCTGTAATAAAACTCAGTTTCACGAGCCATATCAGCTACCAGGAGCCTAAACTAAATCTTGTATTCTAGGGGAAAAATATGTAATTTGAATTTTTTGACTCTGAGAAATAAAACAGCTATAAAAGAACTTTTCTTATTCAAAACACTCAGATTGTATGCATTATGTTTATGCATTACTTTTAAACATAATTTTTAAAAATTGTAAAATGTTCATTGCTATCAAAGCATTCCACACAATCAAAATAATTTGGATATATATATATATTTATTTTAGCTTGCTCAACATTAAGCAGGTAAGGTTTTGGCAACATTTACTAAATTTTAGTTAACATTAATGCAAAGTGAAAAATGCAATTCAAGACATGCAAGGTTTAGGAAAAATATTTCCCATTGAACAGTTCTGAAATATCCATTTATTACCATATACATTAATATATTTTTCTTAATGGGTGAATTTGTTATAGATGAGATGTTAAAACCAACTCTTTCCATTTAAAAATACTAAGGTGACACACTGGCAATTATAACTCCATTAATATAATTGCAAGAACTTTATATCTTATGTAATTTGGATTCTACTGCTTACTTGGGTGACTATTAAATAATTTGAGGTTTTTAAAGACTGAGAAGCATTTCTCAAGGTTAGCTTTCCCAAACAGAAAGTTGAGTGTTATAAATTCCACCTCCCACAGACCAGAATTCACATCCATTGGTCAGGGGCAAATACCACTGGCTCTGCGTCCTCGGTCACTTTATGCCATTTCACCAAGCCGGAGCCAAAGGTAAGTTTTTATACTTGCTTTCTTCTTGGGTTAGAGGCTTTTTTCCCCCTGCTATATCAACCTTTACAAAAATATTTCAACTTGTTTTAATATCTTCTAAGTGAACTTTGAGTCAGTGAATTTGGTTTATTTTTGCTATTGACTTTGTATTTATATTATTCTTGGAAAATCCAAAATTCTAAATTAGCTTAGGAATTAATAACATCCAGCAAACAGTTGATCTCCATGGTCACGGTAGATGCCAATAAAATTATAGTAGTTTCCAATATATGCTTTAAATCAAGTGCTTTGACACAGACCACATGCTTTGCCAGTATAGACAGGCACTATTGATGAATATTGATGGAAATATTATGCAAAGGGAAAAAAATAGTGAAATTTCAGGGGTTTAAAAATATTAGAATCATTATACAATATTAGACATTTAGAATGCTTAAGCTCCTTTAAAGTTTTAAATAAACATACATTTAAAATACTAAGAAATGGCATAAAGTGGAAAACATTCAAAGTTTCAACTAAAAAACTACATTAAATTCTAACACAATTATGTGAAGAAAGAAACAAATTTTTTAACTAAATATAAAGATAGATGTCTTCACATTTGTAAGGTTCACGTAGAACCTTCTATAGAACCAATAGTGCCTTATTGCTGATAGCTTTATGGGATATGTTAAATGTAAGTAAACTCTGATATGTAGACATTTATAATAAGATACAGAGCATAAACTGAGAAAAAGGTTCATCAAGTGCATTATTTCTTTGAACAATGAAAGTTACCAGAAATGTACAAGAAAAATGTTTTTTTTTTTAGGTTGGCAGTGACTTCTGTTACTGCTTCTCTCTTGAATACAGGAGAATGGTTCCTGGAAGATTTGCAAATCACAGTGCGTTATTAAGTAAGCAGGACTTTGTTGATAATTGCCTAGAACAGTTCCAAGTCTGCAGTCCTGCAAAGGCCTCTGTGGAGGCAAGTGAAAGAGAGGCTTAGTTCACCCAGTGTGAATAAGAAATTTATTTGAAGAAAGCATACAAGGGGATAAAAAGGAGCTCCTTGTACTGCTTCTCATTCTCAGAGGAATTTCATATCCTTCTGCCTAAACCTGCTTCATAAAGACTTTCTTTCAAGTAGCTGAAGGTCAGTTTGTTTGCCAGTGTATTCAAGTTTAAAAGTAATATTTATAATGAATAACCTTTTATGTGTGTGCATAGGTACTAACACCACATATACTGTTCTCAAAGTAAACCGAAGAAGTGTGATCAAAATACAAACCTTCTAAAACTAGCTTGATAAAGAGTTTTTTCCCATACTTTGCCTGCTCAATAAATGATCACTAGGTAACATTTTGATAGGACCAAGTTAAATATTTAAAAATCAAGCCTGGAGTTTTCTTCCTAAGTCAAAATTCATTCAAATAAGTATATACAGAACTAAAATAATTACAAGATTTGATTGCATCACAACAGAATATAATGTTAAAATGGAAAATAAAATTGTGCTTCTTAAAGAATAACACAAGATAGCTCTAATCTTGTGTGTAAATCTTCTTCTAAGGGAGTCTTGCCAAAAAATGCCTTTTACAACCTGTATTCCTATTGATTCTGAGTTCAAGTCTTAGAAAGCTATTAAGAATCAAAACACAATGCTAAAGACTAAAGGAAAAATAATTTTCATTTCTGTTCCATTTAGTTAAGAACATTTTGAACAATAATGCATAAAATATTAAATCATGTGCCTATTCAATTATGTATGTATTTAGATACCCAGAGGCAAAAAAGAAGTAACCAGAAAAAAGATTTCATTATTTTGATGTGAAAAAAAGACTTTAGCCTTCAATGAACAAGAAACAGTTGATTTCTAGTTATGTCACTAGCCAACTTTGTCTCAGTTTCCTCATCTGTAAAGTGGCGTGACAGCTGTAATCATTGTCATTATCCTCATCATCAATTCTATATCCCATAGTTGATGAAATTGTCTTAATGCTTGATTAAATGGTGAAACTCTTAAATAACGAAAAGGCTTTTGTGAATAAGTGTATCACGATCTTTCTGCATCCCATCTTCTCCATTTTTCTCTATAAAATAGAATTAATATTCACTGTAATTAAAATATCCACTGTAAAAACTTGAATAAGTTTGTGAATTAATTTTAACATTTGGAAGCAACCATCTTCAGATGTCACATAATTTTATGTGTTATGTTCATCAGTTATCCATGTAAGGAAAGCTACCAGCTTGATGATGCTGACACTAATTCCTCATTTCTATTTAGTGCCAGTTATTCATAAGTTATTGTCAGTTAAGTGTTGATGCATTTTAGTCTTTTTTGATTAGGAAAGTTTGAAAAATGAAAATATTGGCAAGACTTGTTCTGGGACTTGTCATCTTTGATGCTGCTGTGACTGCCCCAACTCTAGAGTCCATCAACTATGACTCAGAAAACTATGATTCCACCTTGGAAGATCTGGATAACTTATACAACTATGAAAGCATGCCTATTGATCAAACTGAGGTAATTGGTTTCTCCCATTTTTGAGACTTTTCAAAGCATCGAATGAGGGATGCTTGAGGGTTGTTCTCTTAAGATATATTTTTGGTTTTTTCTAAGTAGAGCGATCTTGTCTTAAAAATTTCATTTCAGCCTTTTCTCTAGAACGCATTCAATATTTTGGAGGTTAATGCTGGGAAAGTCTTTTGCTTTCTTGTGGTTTATAATATTTCTTACAAATGTATTTATCAAATTGAAAACAAGAGTAATTTTCTATCAAGTAAGAACAAAGATGATTATAGGAAAAGGCAAGGAGGAGAAGAGTTTAAAATAATATGCATACAATGATAAAATGTCAGGTAAAGGAGAAAGATGTAAGATTAAAATAAATTAGAAGAAAACAAAAAGAATGCAGAGAAAAGACATGGGCTGAAACTCCACTGTATCCCAAGAGTGAATGGTGACTATGCTTTCCTAAATGACTGATTGTCTCTCAGACAGTAATGTAGAAATTGGCAAGGTTGTAGCCCATTACATAAATCTGATATGACATGTTCCTAATTGAATGCTAAGGTTTTTACATAACTAAAGGATACAGACTAATTTTTATGAATCAGAAAACAAACAGACCTTGAAATGCTGGAATATAACTAATATGCCACATTGACAAAAAGTAATTAAATATAAATAAACAAAAAGAGAAATTGCATCACCTTTAAAAGATCATAACATATTTTGGGCTGTCTTTCAAGAGTAAATCTTCTTAGAATAACTAATTTTGATAAGCAGGAATATGAAATATTTAGACAAAATCATATATTTAACTTGGACAGAACTTAAATATATCTTTATTAAGAAGACAGTAAACATTTTTAATGCTGTTTATGTTGCCTTATGAAATACAAGTCAGATATTCACAATAGTTTTCACAAGCCTTGTCCTCTGTCTCTCTCTCTCTCTCCCCCCACCCTCTCTGTCTCTCTCAGTATTTCTCTCTCTCTCTCTCTCTCTCTCTCACCCTTCTGCCCCACTCATCTTTCCCTCTCCCTTCCTCCTGTCTTTAGTAAAGTTTTAGGCTCTACAGCAGATCACCTCTTTTCTGCACATTTGATTGTGACTCTAAATCTTTATTAATATTCTTTGTTTGATTCATTTCATTGTGTGGCTTCTGTTTTGTTAAGGGAATTTCCTATTGATAATTTATGGTCATTAACAACAATCTTGCTCTATGTTACTTCTACATTTCTAACCTAGTGCATCAACATAGAATGAAAGATTAAAATTTTCTAGTAATTAACTCATCTGCTTTGCCTCTTTTTTCCTCTTGCCTAATTATATATTTTTAAGAGGTTTTAGTGCATATCTGAATTAGTCCACCAAATTGAATATTTTAGCTCATATTGAATATTTTAGTTCAAACATTCGTTTTAGTTCATTCCTCACAAAACATATGTCATCGAACAAAGAAATGTGATGATTGCCACAGGTGAATCTTCTGTATTGAGTAGGGTTAGGAAGTGAATTTAAGGGTCTGCTTATTTCTTTCACAAGGTCAAATATACGATAGAAAAAGCACTGTGTGGAACCAGGGCTTCTCTAGGAAAAATTATAAAGAAGACATGCTGTATCTGCAGAACTCTCTTAACCCATTCCTCGCCATCAGGATCCTTTTTGTTGCCCATAAATCCCTCCACATTCTCATGAGGTTCTTAAGTTTTTCCTGCCATCAATAAATCTAAGCTACTAAACATACCTATATAAAGATGATTTAATATGCAACCTATAAAGATGATTTAATATGCATATTCTGAAATAACAACTTTCTGCAAATTACCAAATATATGGTATTGTATCTTTACATACTCCAAGTTTACTCCTTGCAAACCTCCCTAATTTTCCACAGAGTTCTTTCTAAGCAATTCTAGATTCTAGTCAAACTTAGAATCCTTAATGACTGAGGGCTCCAGAGAGCCACAAACAATCCCTTGTGGTTGATTGAAATATATTAGTTATCCCTTACTTAACAATCCTTTGTTATGAACTCATCATCAGAAAACCAATTTACAGATAGATGATATAAACATAAATACATATATACATATGTTATAATCATTATTTATGCACTTTACTATTTCTTGCACTTTATGCACTTTAATATAATGCACTTTAAACTACAAACTATACATAATTAAAAGAAATATTTACAGAGTTGGTCCAGTAACAAAAATGAATCAACCACCTTACTCACTCATTGCCTATGAAAAAAGAAATACAAAAATAACACTAATATGATAAAGTAAATAAGATGACATGAGGAACAAAATTTAGAAAAACTTTAGCTCAGATATTAACAAATTAATATAAATAACTTTACAAACAAACTAAAATGATGTATACTTCTTTGTGAGATGATGTGAAGTAAAGGTAATAGATCCAGTCATGAAGGTGGATTCTAGAATATAGTTACTCATGACATAAACTTCCTCATGCAGTCTTAGAAGTCCAGATTTTGGTGACTCCTGGTAGGCTTGTGTCTCATTTTTATATATTAAGGTCAGTTGTTTCAGCTGTACTTGATCCTGTATGACACTTTCTGACTAAACACCAGTAACACACGCAATGTAGGGTACAACTGATGAAAAAATTCACTGCAAATAAAACACATGAAGAAATGTGGGATCAAATTCTTCAATTTTACATCTTCAATTACAAGGGTATGTTTCTGCTTGGTTTAGCCTAGAGTTTTTCTCATTTGTAGAAAACGCAACCTTTATTCCAAAATGATAATTGAACATTGCTTCTAAAATTTATGCCAGTTGTTTTCTTATACTCTGTAAGACTTGGCTTCTTGAGCCAAGGATTAGACTGTTTGGATGAACCTATGGGTGATTAATCCTTAAGGCCTTTGATATATGTTGTAGGTAGAATTCTAAGATGTCTCCTAAGAGACCCATCTCCTGGAATGTGAGTGCTCTCTATAATCCTTAACAGTATGAGTATATTACACCACTCCTATGACTGGGTTATGCTATATGGCATAGTTTTACCTTAAGATAGAGAGATTACGTAGGTGGGTCTGACCTAAACTCATGAGTCCTTTAAATCAGCATAAGATATCAGGGTCAAGATTTTAAGTATGAGAGAGATTCAGCTCAGAGGAAACTATCTGAAGCTGGCTTCAAAGACTGATGGGTTCGTGTGGTAAGGAATGCAGGGGCCTCTAAATGCAGAGTGAAACTGAGGGCCACAAGCATGTGGGGACCCCAGTCCTCTAGACAAGGAATCCTGAGCTCTACAAATGATCACAATCTAGGTTATCACCTTGATTTTGACCTTGTGATATCCTGAGCAAAAAACCCAATCAGGCAAATTCTGGACTTTTCACTCACAGAAATTGCAAGCTAAAATTTGGGCATAGATTTACTAAATATTTGGCAATTTGTTATGCAGCAATAGAAAAGATATACAACATGTGAAAACTTGAGCTCTTTTTTCTGAAAACCAATTTTGAATTATACTGCTGCAAGTCTTGCATTTGTGAGTTCAGTGATTTAGCTGGTCAATAAGCCAAACCCCTCCAAACCCTCAATTGAGTTTTGTTGATTTCTTCTGATAGTGGGATATTCATTGCTTCCTCAGTGGTTGAGAATGTGCTATTAAAGTATTTTTAAAATTATATATAGTAATGGAATTGTATTCTTATAGCATATGCAACTTCTGATGATCTAGAATATCCATGATTTACTGAATTATATGCTAGGATCAGGTTTTAGACCCAACAATTCCATAGTAATTCTATATATTATCCAATGAACAAAATTGTTGGTTTGTGGATTTTACTGTAGCTAGACATTTTACTTTAATGGTGTGACTAGGAATGGGTTACTGACTGTATGATCAAAATAATAGACTTTTGGCTTTTCAATAATAACTAACTAACCTTGAATGAGCATTTATTATGTCCTAGGTATTGTTCTAGTCATAAGATTACACGTTACTGTATTTATTTCTTACAGCAAATCTATGGATTGCTATTATTATTACCTTTGAATAGAGGAAGATATTGAGACAAAGAACAATTAGTTAAGTAACTGGAGATAGATTAAACGGTAATGACATACAATCATAGTGATGCTATCTTCTCATATCAGAAAATAATTTCCAGTAGGGTAATAAAAGATTATATTATTATTTCTCCATTTTTCTATCATGTTCCTAATTATCCTTTTAACTTGATATTGGTTTTAGTTAAACTAAATGCCAAGTGCTCTAACACTCCTAAGGAGAAAGGAAAACATTCTATGAGTGAATAATGTGAACTGTAAGTGACATTTATAGATAATCTACTCTATTACCTAATTACATTAGAAAAAATGGCTTAAGACTACTGCAAAAAAATAATTATGGGTAGACACCCTTCAACATATATCTAAATTCTGAAAAATAACCTAATTTTTAAAATTTCACACATTTAATGATCTAGGAAAACATTTCTCTATGTGCCTTAAAGGGTTCATCAGAAACTGCATTGTTTAAAAGCTGGTATTGTTTGAGTGGTTTAAAGTGTAATTGACTTTTTGATGAAGGTGACTATGTGATGGATCCACTTTCCCAGTATACTTCTGAGTTGTTGATTTTCCATTTATCTTAGGTTGGAAGAGGCTTCAACTTGTTTTCTGAGAAAAACATTGGGACTTCCCATTAGTCAGGGCCAGCAAAGTGCTCAGTAATCACGTTAATATTTATGGAGTCTCTATGGAAGGATGTCAACTTCCATGCATCCAGTAAAATGTTCTTGGCTTTATCCAGACAATCAGATTTCTCCTCACCTATACTGCCTTATATAATTGCTCTTACTTAATCTTATGTCCCTGTGTATTCAATAAACACCAAGAGATGTTATACTATAGAGCTCTATGAAACTAGGGACTGTTTTTACTGTAAGATGATGTGGGGAACATATGCAATGCTTTTTGTGGGGATGTGTAGAAGACAATTTCTCTCAAGTCTTCTGTCAGGATGTG